CTCTATCTAGTCGCTGCTGCTGCGCTGTCACTGCGCTCACACTACGCTCTGCTCGCTGTTGATACGTCCTAATACCTCGCGTCGCGCTCTCTATTAGACCAAAATACGCTCATGTGACGTCACTTGCGCTGTATAAATACCACGACAAAACGGTCAATACACAGTCCAGTTTCAAAATTATTCTACAAGTTCATTGCAGTCGAGTTACTTTCTCATGGAGACTACATCAACTGTCTTGCCCCTAGGCTGCCTCAATGCCACTTCAATGTCGCACGATTCACGCTCGCACAGCCCCTCGAGTTGCGTCATTGCGGCGCCTTGGCCAGAGCGTAGAGGTGTTGCGATTGTTTTGGGCATGTTCAAAGATCTTGGCGCTCATCGGAGACCATTAAGACCCTCCGAGGCCCATCTGGCAACCTGTATGTAGTTGTTGCTGCGATCCAGTAGTTGTTTTTGCACCCCAGCTATTTTTCAAGGACGCAGTAAGAGCGCACATAAGATCACAGACAGTGTGACAGGGGCTTTACCTCCCGAGAGAAAGTTGTCTCATACACGAATATCAATGCGTTGTGTACCGCGTGTGCAAGCACTGAGAAAAAGGAACATTGTTCTTGACAGCTTTCCAGTGACTGCTGACTCGCTGTGTGTTGTACATGCCCTTGGCTTGTTGGCTTGCTGCCACTTGGCCTGGCAGCATTGTGCTCTTGGTCATTTTCTGCCTGTGGAATCACATGAAGCTCAATCTGCTTCCCTGGCTGCAATGGTCGGCTGGGATTCCGTCTTGGGAAGCAACGACAGCACATGTCTTACCACTCGACCACCGAGCTAACGGGATCGGATGGCCGGTTCGAACAGAAAATTCCATCTTATAATACATGTAGTTTATGCGGTACCTGCCGCTATGTACATCAGATTCGAACCGGCCACCCGATCCCGTTAGCTCGGTGGTCGAGTGGTAAGACATCTGCACTAGAAAGCAGGAGGTCGTGGGTTCGAATCCCACCCGAGTGATTTTTTCCAACTTTCACTGGTAATACACTGAGTATACAGTGTTTAAAAACGTTGGTGCAGGGCAAAACCTAATTTGATTTATATCACCCCGACGCAAAAAAAATTCCATCTTATAACGACAGCACAGTTTGAGGAATGAGAAAGCCTTGACTACAGCTGCACGATAGTCAGCGTTAGTCAGCACTGTAGATGAGGGAATTAATTGAGCTATTGATAAGTCTGAAGATTTTTTGCAAGTTTTAGATATTCAATATCTTGGGCAGGCAAAGTATAAGTTGTTCCCAGAGTATAAATAATTGCAGCTGAAGCGTTCAGTGAGTTCAGAATGAAAAAAAAATGGCAGTATTGATGATAACCATACAGAGGAGCTTGCCTGTTTGCTTGGGACAATTTGGCAACTGTGCTGATTGCTTGCACACTTAGTAGTAACTACAGTACTACCAAGATGTACAAAGCAAGAGTGGCTACTAAACAGGTAGTGTTGGTAACGAAATTAATTCAAAAAATGATGTCTTTAAAGAAATTCTCTGGCAAATATATTGGAATCACACCAACAATAATTGTTGGCACCCAGAGTCCTGCTGATATCTTTGCTGCTCGAGATTTAGAGGCTTTTTCCTTGAATGTCAGAGGATTGCGCACTGCAGAGAATCTCTCAGCTGCTATGATCACTACAAAATAACTAGAAACAGCAACAAACATGTATTTGAATCCCGGGACATACCGTTATTTTGTTTTACCGTTTTGGATTTCCTCAAAAACAAACACCGCGAACGAACGTTTGACCATTTGTCGTTTTACAGTTTTGTGAAACGGTCAAACGGTATTAAGTCACACACACAAAAATACTTTTTGTTGTTGTTTTTAATTGTAGAAAGCGTTAAACGGTCAGTTGCTTTATTTTTATCCTTGGGATCGAGTCATTGCCTGGGCCTTCCTTACATTTTCGTTCTCACGACAGAATTTGCGAATTAGCTATTGAAGAGCTGTGTCGACTTAAACTACAATTTCCTTCAAAATATCTGCACTTCATCAAACGTCTTACCATCCTGTATCCATTGTGAAAAGTAATGCCCTCCCTTGCAGTTTTCCAGCGCCATTTTTGCTTGCAACTCTTTAAGCCCCACCAACTGAATCGCATGAGAAGGGGGTCAGGATCCGCACCAGGAATCACACCACGCATTAAATATGCCGAGCCAACACTCGTGTAAAGCAGGGTCCCCCTCCACCCCCTTGCCCACCGCCACAAAATGCACCACGGACTGTTAACTATGACACTAAAATAAAAAAACAGTGTGTATTCAATACTGACCGTTTTGCTGTTTTTCAAAGTTATTTGTGTAAAACTGTAAAACAAAAATAATGGATCGTTGTGCTATAATGAATTTTCCTAAACTTATAAAATGGATGAACCGTATTTATCTTAATACTGTTTGTCGTTTTATAAAACTGTAAAACGACAAAACGGTCAATGGTTCGTTTACTGTTTTTGTTTTTGAGGAAATCCAAAATGGTAAAACAAAATAACGGTATGTCCCGGGTTTTATTTGACACTCTGGAATGCTTTGTACACTTCGGATGAACACAATACAAATATACATTGAGTCATAAGGAAGAGCAAGTCAGCCACAGCCAGATTGGATAAGTACATGTTGATGAATGTACGCATGGACTTCACTCGAATGACTGTGAAGAGAAAGACCAAGTTTAAGAGGAGGCCAATTGGTGCATTGATTTCAGTACTTAACCATAGTATTTGTTAATTTCTTTTGTGAGTCTTGATAAAGTTCTCAAGGTGCTTTTCAACTTCATCGTTCTCCATATCCAACATTTTTATTCAGATGTAGCAAAGAGTGTTCTGTCCTATTTCAAGATCACTCCAGTTTTATACTAATAGCGAATATAAGACCTGGAGCAATGTGTAGTTGAAACAAAAAGCTTCTGCATTTTTTCCCCTTAGTGTTTTTTCATCTCTAAGATTTGTAAGGATTAGTTCTTTGTTCCTTGTTTTGAATACATACTAAACCAAAGTAGGCAATAGAGTTTCAGTTGACTTTGGCATAGATATGCTTCAGAATAACTTTTTATTTTCTCTTCAAGACTTTTTTTACATGTACATTATGTAATCCGTCGGTTTTGCTCATATCTAGGTTGCTTAAAAAAAAGTGAAATGGCACTCTGCACTTTTTACAGAGTTTTACAGCTCATAATAGATCACAGACATAACGTAACACTTCAATTATCTATAACTAAATAAAATTAGATGCCGATCAAAAAAATGACACAAAATCTTTCAGGTCGTTCCCTACATTTTGCTTACAACACCTTTATTTATATCTCACATTTAGAATCTTGACACAAGCTTTAGATTTGGTGTTTGGATAATCAAGAAAGACATTTAAAATACAGATACAAATAGTCACTGCATCAACAAAGATTTGAAACCATGGAATTCCTACACTCTCTTGCTTGAAATTGAAAGTGTACTTACATGTAGACTTCTGCTATCAAATCATCACTGACACCATGAACTGACACCCTCTGCATCACATGTGTACAAAAAAAATTAAAAATTCAAATTTTCTTTTTTTGCACATATAAGCAGTTTGTATCATGAAGTTTCACATGACGAAGTTAAAATTGCTGAAATCATCTAAAATAAGCAAATTTTACTAGTGAATTTTCAAAAAAATTGGTCAATTCTGGTATTTTTTGTTACCACGAAGTGACCCTGCACAGGGTGTCAGTTCGTGAAAACCAAAATTTACGTGTTTTCGGAGAGTGCGCACATGCGCAGTGTGTGCGCGCACTCTCCCAAAATGCGTCAATTTAGGTTTTCACGAAGTGACACTCACTAATGCTGTTGCATGCGTGCACTCTCCGAAAACACATAAATTTTGGGTTTCACGAACTGACACCCATCTGAATCATTTAATTGCTAATTAACTAAGCAGATTTTCACAATATAACGTTTATAATTGAGTAGTTTAAGCATTTTCACGTTAAGTGATACCAAAACCTCTAAGATAGATGGATTATTTTAGTGAGTAAATTCGTGTCAAACCTTTAAAACCGTTTTTCTCCGATTTGTATTTCTGCAGCACTGATCACCAGGTGTCAGTTCGTGGTGTCGGTGATGAAATGTTAAACTAAGAAATTACCCATGAACTTTTCTTTTTGTTCTTGGCCCAAACTGATGACCAGCTTTGCCAACAGATTGGCTCCCGTCCGTACATTATTGATACTGATTGTGGGGGGGGGGGGGGAACCAGCCTACCCAGCAAGAACAGAAATTATGTTTGGCAGCCAATAATTTGGAATTGTAAAGTAATAATTCAATAACTGAACGTGAGCTTTTTTGTGTTTGGTGTTTCATTCAAAAGTAAATAACTTTTGTATTGCTTGAAAAATAGCAGATTGGTAAAGAAATCTGTTTTTCGGGATGAAACTCGAAAATAGCACGGAACTTTAAGTAAATTTAGTAGTTCATCCGGCATTTGTTGAGTAAAACTGTTATGTGGACAGTTTTCCTTGTTTTTTTTCCCTAGAAGGTACAGCATTAAAGGTGGCATGTCTGTGTAGAGTGTGTGCGATTCACAGTTTCAGATGGTTCTTATTTTATTTGATAAACTGTCTAAGTTGAACACATTACCCTCATTGTTTCAAGCTTAATCTTTAATTCGCTCATGCACTACCAGAACTATGAACTGAAGTTAGGAGAATGGTTGTATGTAGAAAGATGACAAGTTCCACACACAATCCATTACCCTTTGGAGATACGGTGCACACAATACGAGGGCGCTATTTGGTTTGGGTCTAGTCTTTTGCATATTAAGTTACCCCAATATACCCAAATCAAATAACACCCTTGTATTATGCCTGCCATATATCGAAAAAGGCTTATAGCAGTTGAGCTATTCACTTTTTCCAAAATTTGTTAAGACTCTGGAATACTGGATGTGCTTTTCACATCTTTTCCCAATCTACAGGTTAAACAACATGGTGACTCCACTGTGGAACCAGCTGTATGAGGACCAGCTATCCACCAAATAGACCAACACCAGGGAGTTTCTGAGGAATTTATCCAAGATGCTGCAACGGAACATTGGGGAGATGTCTCCCTGGCTGAAGCAACAAAGGTGAGCTACTCGCCAAAGACACGGGATGGTTGTGGGCCAGAATGGAAATGTGATCTTCGTTGACCAAAAAACTGTTTCCAGACACAGTTTTCTGGCAAGTGGACTTACATATACAGCTGCCCTGAAATTTCATTAAAAGTCCAGAAAATGATGCCTCATTTTTCTTGAGAATCAATTAAAACTCAGCAAACTTTGGGCCAACTTCTGAAATAAACTTCCTTTCCACACACAAAAGTCCCAAAGATTAAAAGGGGGGGGGGGGGGAGTTGGTTAAAAAATGTTTAAAAACAAAAAACAAAAAATGAACACAAAACCAAAACTTCACAATTCAAAAGCAGCTCGAGTGAGACTCGCACCAACAATCTCCTGCTTCCTAGTGCAAATGTCTCAACTACTTGACCATCAGGCTTGCTGGGGTTGGCTGGCTGGTCCCAATCTGATACAGCAGGTTGTTACAACTGATAATGTAGTAACCAACGGATAATGTATCACCAACTGATAATGTCACACAAATTGACCGATACTGTATCACTAACCGATAATGATAATGTCACACAAATTGACCGATAGTGTAGTAAAAATGTACTACACTATCAGTCCATTGTTGTTACATTATCCGTCTTAACAAGCACCCCCTCGCCTGGGTATAAAGTGTGCGCACATGTACATAATGTGCCTGTTATCAGGCGCGGATCCAGGATTTCTTTAGACGGGGGGCACACCTTTAGAGCATGCTCCGAGAATTAATGCGAGCGCGGAGCGCGAAGCCCTTACGGCGTGGGGTCCGGGGCCCGCTTAAGGCCCCCGGGAAATTCTGGATTCTAGATGCTCTGTGGTGCAATCTGAGGCGATTCCTGGCCCCTTTACCCCAAATTATTTGAGTAAAAGTTTTTACGATTAAAATATAAGGATTTAAAAAAAAATAAGCTCTTGCTTTTACAAGCGTTGAGTTATATACTGTGTACTTCAAAGTTGAAGACCATATGTTTCGTCTTCATGCATGTTCTGTTGCATTTTATTTTTGAAAAGGGATTTTATTGACTTAGTTTGTTATAAACTGTTGCAACGATGCGTTAATTTGCTCGGAGGACTAATGCCAGCGGGCCCCGGGAAATTTTGGATTCTAGATGCTCTGTGGTGCAATCTGAGGCGATTCCTGGCCCCTTTTACCCTGACTTATTTGAGAAAAATGTTTAAAGATTATATGGATTTGTTATTGATTTAAAATATACTCTTACTATTACAAACCTCTTTAAGATTCTTCTGTTCTTCACTTGAGAACCACGTATTGTCGTCTGCATATTTTCGTGCATTATATTTTCAAAAAGGAATTGTATAGACTTAGTTTGTAAACTGTTGCAAGGATGCTTTGTAATGCTTTGTTTCAATTTGAAATTTTTAGTTGATCAATGAGAACAAACCGCTTGAACATGTAAATTGAATTCAAGTTTAAAATTAGTGTAATTCAATCAAACTAAAACAGAGGAGCAAATAGGCCTCCATGCACATTGTAACTTCACAGCTCAGTTTTATCTCATGACTTACATGTACATGTATCTTATGCATGCATAATGTAATTGCCCAAACATTTTACAGAACTGTTCTAGATTTTAATTCAGTCCAGTTTCAATTTCAAGAATAGGGCCTAGTTTTGTACACGTAGGCCTACATGACATCGGGAGATCGGCGACGCAGCAAGACAAATTGTATAAACTCATCGTAGTTCGTATACATGCGACTTGTCTATACAGAAAATAGTCATCGGGCCTTTCGGCGCCATGATTGCAATTCACACATGGTATGATACATTGTGAAGGGTTTTTTGTCATTTTGTTAGACTAGGTTTACACTATGTTCCCGGCGGTCACGGCAGCCCCGTTTCCTCGAAACGTAGTGCGCCGTGGGATTTTGGCAACTTTTTTTTCTTCGTAGTCAAGGTTTTTTTTTAGGTCCTGCTAAGTTTTCTCACTGTCTATCACGGTAACTGTGATGGGCCGTGGGGGGGGGGGGGGGGAGGGGCTGCTGAGTCCCGGAGGCTCAAAGGCGCACTATACGGTTCGGCCCGCGGTCTACCACGAATGCCAGTACGTTCTCTCCTGGCCTGTCACGTTCTGATGGGTCCCTCTGGGGTCCCTCACGTTCCTCACGTTCTAATCAAAGTCTGACACGTTTTGTCGCGTTCTGTCAAGGCTTTCTACGGATGAAACGTGTACGCCGGGCAGCTTCGGAGCAAGTTTATGCCCACGGTATGAAAAGAAAGCCTCCCAAGCAATAGCAATCATTGTATGCTTTTATACTCCCTCCCAGACCGCGCTCGCCGTATCAGACCGTAGTAGAACGCAACGCGCCACATCGCACTAGGCCCGTAAACCGTTACACATCTGGACGCGCCGTGATTGAACTTGATGAAACGGCTACCGTACACCCTAGCTTGCCGTGAGAAACGAAGCAAAACGCGACAAAACGCGCAGCAACCGTGACAAAACGCCCCCTAAACGCGGCAGAACGTGACAAAACTTGACAAAACTTGAAAGGACCGGTAAGATGCCGGGGAATGCTTCCCGTCCTTCTACGGACCGTCTCCACGTTTTGTTACGGCCTATCACGTACTGTCACGTTTTGTTGCATTCACCCCGTTTTACTACGGCCTACTAGGTTTCTCATCCGCACCGTGACTGCCGTGGCAAATTTTTTGACAGTTTAAAAATCTGGCCCGGCATCCACAGCCTGTCACGTTTGCCCATCCTGTCCCCCGTCGTTGTCTCACGTCCGTACCGTTTTGTCCACGGTGGCCAGAAACGGGATTGCCGTGGCCGCCTGGAACATAGTGTAAGCCTATAGCCTTACGTAAAAAAATACAGGAATTGGTGTATACATATCCCGACCCGTCACGGACGGGCGCCGGCCCGCGGCCGCCACTGGTGAACTCCGATATTAAACAAAGTTCCTCGCTTGCATGCACTTGAAAAAGCAACACACCGCGTTCCGTCTAAATTGCCAGAGCATGTCTCGGGTGCTAAAACTTGCCTCTTGGCTATAACTGCTGATTTTTTGTCTTAAGAACAAACAGATCCTTTTTAAGTACCAAACTTATCAGATTTGTAGTTTCAGCAACGCGTAGTAATGTCAAAACCAGACGGATCGCGCCATTCTCCGTAAAAAAAAAAGAAGACTTTTTATGGACTAATCCATGTATATTTTCAGGGGTGTTTATTTTTTTTCAGGGTTTTACATCGTTTCTCGAATGAAGTCTTTACGAAACTTGTATGATGACGTTGAAGAACTCATTTTAAAACAATGAAATGTTTTGGACTTCGTGAAAAGTATAGTTTGTAATTTACAAGTGCGTGGAAATAATGGCAAATTGATATTAGGAAAACACACCCCTGTGTCGTGCAACACAGCAAAAAGCTGCACGTGCTTTTTCGTAGAGAATGCATCGTACATACATAAGTATACATACATGTACATGCAGGGTTACGTTATACGGGGTACGTACGGTGGGATCGCGGTTTATTTCGAAGCTTCTCGATCGACTCTCGAGCTCGCTGTCATACTGCCACTACGCAATGTTTGCAGGCTGATGTTTAATATCGGCGCCGGTATTTTTGTAAGGAGGTTGCCTCCTCCTTCCCCTCTTTTCGCTCTCCTCCCTCTTTTTTTCCCCTTTCTTTTTCCCCCTTTTTTGTGTGGAGTCAATTAGACGGGGGGCACGTGCCCCCGCGGCCCACCCCTGGATCCGCGCCTGGTTATGAAAACCGCAACAGAAAGTTTCGGGAATTTTTTTTCTCAGTTATTCCCCAAATTTCTTGTCAGGTCTTCATGAAACTTGGCCTGGGTAAATTGCGCAAAAGTTTCAGTTTCATGTCTTATTTTCATTGACAGATAACACTGTTGGTTTCCGGCTTGGCGCTTACAAAAGCAAGTATTTTCACAGAGGTTTCCATTTTGCAAAAGCCGTAGATAAGCGTTCATGCTTGATTGGATCAGCTGTGGAGGGGCGTGGCCCATTAGTAGCCAATGCTGATCAATTCCAACCAATCAGAATGCAACACACAGAAAGATTGACAGGTGTACATATTGTGCATTGTCTAATATGTCTGTCAGGAATTAATTATTGAGAAGAAAGAAACAAGCCACAAAAGACTTAAACCCTTTTCATCCCCTTTGCTGACCAATATGTTGGCTTACTTTTGTGGCATGAATATTGAGGGTATATGTTTGTACTTTCAATATTGACCAGCAAGCTCTTTTACTCAGTAGAGATTTTTCAACATTTACATTTGTACAAGCAAGAATTAGGTTTTAAAAACAAAATTCAGAAAAATCACTGTTTGTTTAAATGTTGCTAGTGTACACTTTTGTGTATTTTATCACTGATTTTGCTTTTACACGCAAATTTGTTTGTCCTGTAAAAAGTATGTGACTTTTAGAAACATGGTTTGCCCTGCAATTTTTTTTTCTCAAATATTACTAGGTGTCAGAAAGACGTAAGAGCTCAAACACCAATTTGGTGATAGTATATTTCTGTATTATTTGTGTTTAGAGTTCTAAATTACACAAGGAAATAGCAGCTTTAATGAACATATAAAAAACAGCAATTCCTCCGATACTGTGCAAATTAAGTGTGATGCTAACTTTACAACGACATTCATATTTTACAGCATTGATTTTTCAATTACCCAAATTCGAAGTACCCTTGAGTCCATCTATAAGAAATATTAGAATATTGCTTTGCATTTAAACATCATACAGACATGGAGCTCATAATGTAATACAACAGACTAGTGGTGCTACACAGATTATATGTACAATTATAGAGCATGCAAGTCTCGCCAGTTCACATTCACTTTTCATGTGAACATCTTGGTACCAAACACTGACTAGTCTAGCCACAGACTCCCGTGTTTGAATTCACCCAATTCACCCAATGAACGGAAGTGGAGGTCCACATTTCTTCCATTTACTATAGTAATCAACTTGCAATACTTTTTGAATGTGTTGTAAATTGGAATGGTTTATTTCTTGTTCAGAACCCATTCTTTGCCCTTGACTGGATAAACCTAGTAAAATCACCTACATGTAGGTTTTTGAGGTCAACTTCCACGCTCTATTGACAGAAGTGGAGTACAAATTGCTGACTTTAACTATCAACTACATTTTTTCCAGCTAGTAGCTGTGAAGACACCTTTGATCCTCCAGACTTAAATCCCATACGGTACATCTAAAGCCTACAATGGTCTCGTATATATTATATATCTGTGCTCTGCAACAAAAAAGTCTATACCCTGGATTTCTCCTTGCTAAAGGATGTTTCAAGAAACTTTGAATAAAAAACAGCACTTTATTTGGTCTTCAAAAAAAGTTATCCACATTGTGCTACATGTATGCACAAAGATTGGTATACATTTGGAATCGGATGCTCCTAATGCATAACTTGCAACTTTGTTGATCTGTAATACTTAGACTGTGTCTGAAACGCGTTTCTAGAGCTATGGCTACGGCTATTGTCAGATTGTTCCCATGAAATTGTTTTGGGTGAAGACCTAGACAATATAGCTCTAGCCATATCAAGTTTTTTAATTTGTTCATTTGTGCATCAGGTCTTGACCCACAAGATAACCATTCCACCAGCACCTCTGACGTACCAGTGACTGGTGCTGCCATAACGGATCCTTATCACTATCTGACGCAACAGCACTTCACCTCAGAGATCTTCAAGATTGAGATCCAAAACCTCCCAAGACATTTTGGACTGGTGGTGAGTTTGCTCCCTAAATATTGAACCCTCAATAACAATAACCATACAGTTTGTGCCTTTTTAGGAGTATGTATGTATTGTACTCCATGCTTGGGATTTGTCAAGGTCTGTTAATAACAGCATCAAAAGGCTGTAAAATGAATTTCACTAAAACATGAAATATCCCAGCCCTGTGTTTGTAATGACCTAGTAATGACCACATTTTACGCACACTTTTTTGCAATGCCCGTGCACATGTTCACAATTGTTTCTAATGTTGCTGTGATGTCGATTTAGGTATTTTACACTTCACAGCTTTGGGGTTTTCTGTATAATTTATGAACCTAAAATTCATTGCATTGTACATGTGTAAAGGTTTGTACATTTAAGCATCTCACTGGCTGCATGCTATGTGTTAATGAACGCAACATTCACATCAAACTTGATCAAAACACTTTTGTTACATTTTGTCCCCTCAAACAGCAGTGACACTGAAGTTCCAGCTCATTACATCGCTGTATTGCTCGTGAATATGGAATATTTTAAAGCCTGAAACATCCAAAGACTTGGAATAGAGTTCCTAAAATGAAAACCTATTTACAGTGGAAAAAATTCAGGGTTATCCATATGTTAGTACCATTACTTGTATATTTCACACTGAAAAAAGTAACAAACTTGCTCATTAAAAGGAAGGGTAGATCATTTGTCATTTGTGCATTTTTTTTCATTTGAAGCATCAAAAGTGCTCAAAATATGAAAACGGGTGCTTAACAATTAACACAATGAAGTTTTAACTCTGTGAATGCAGTATCTTCCGAGAAAACTATAGTCAAGGATCTCGGGTTCAATTCAAAAGTTGCTGAGTCACGTTTTATATTGCGTCCGAATTCAGCCCCAGGGACACATTCTCATTCAGTCAATTGCAGCTACGTGATGTCATGCACTGAACTGACGAATAATAGCAACCTAGTGTGCGTGTGCGTCGTGTCGACGCTTGCGCGCACATATTCATGGATTCACCGAATTTACAAACCAACTACATGAACTAACATGATGCATCGTTGAAAATTGCTTTCTTTCCTTGTTTCCTTCAAAACGACAGCATGCCAAAAAGAATGATTTCACAGGGAGTTTAGTGCCATTAAAACCAAAAGCCTTTAACAATAATTTTGTCAGTTACTTTTTGGGTAGCTGCAAATGATCTACTCTACCTTTAAATACGAACAAAAGTTTGATTCAAATAATTAAACTATTTGGGATTTGTTAATTTCTGAACCTTTTACATACATACATTGCATGAATACCAGCTGTTCCCTTTACTGATAGTTGGTTGCAATCTGCTCTGGGCGGGCCTGCACATTACTGATGTCATGGTGCGTACATGTATTGGCAATTCGCTGAAGTAAAACACATTTCAACTCCAGCATATTGTGTTGTTAATGTTTCTCGATGTCAAATCTACTTAATTGGCATTCCAAGAAGAAGATGTATGAAACGGCCTTAAATCTGCTCTACACTTTGAACACAGCAAGTTCAAAAGCAGCACTCACTCTACACACTGCTGCCCTTAAAGACAGCTTGCACTTATCAGGTACCAGTGAACATTGTTCTTGACAACATTTCAAAGATTAAATCCCTTCTGGTTCTGGATGTGCATACTGCTGCCCTTGTGCTGATGGCTCAGTGCCAGTCAGCCCGGGACATTGTTCCTGAGTACTTGCAAGTGACTGCTGGCTCTCTGCTGGTTCTTGATGTACACACTGTTCCCCTTGCATGGATAGCTTGCAGTCAGTCAGACTAGAGCATTGTTCCTAATGAGAACTTGCAAGCGCTGGGGTCCTTGCTGGTTCTGCATGTACCTCAACATGCACTTGAACATGCTGCAGACTGTGCATGGGTGCCTTGCTGCTGCTTTGCCTGGAGCATTGTTCTTGACAGCTGTCCAGTGACTGCTGACTCGCTGTGTGTTGTGCATGCCCTTGGCTTGGTGGCTTGCTGCTGCTTGGCCTGGCAGCACGGTGCTCTTGGTCATTTTCTGCCTGTGGAATCACATGAAGCTCAATCTGCTTCCCTGGCTGCGATGGTCGGCTGGGATTCTGTCTTGGGCAACAACGACAGCACAGTTTCAGGAATGAGAAAGCCTTGACTACAGCTTCACGATAGTCAGCGTTTGTGGCACTGTAGACTAGGGAATTAATTGAACTATTGGTCAGTAGCAAAATTGCAATGCATAAAGTCAGAATATTTATTGTCTCTGCAAGTTCCAGATTGGCAACAATCTGAGCAGTTGAAGTAAACTTTGATGCCACTACAAGTACATGAATTGTCATAATTGAAGCTGCAGTGTACAGTGAGTTCAGAATGAAGAAAACAGCAGTGTTGATGATAACCATGCAGAGGACCTTGCCTGCTCGCTTGGGACGGTTCGGAAACAGGGCTGATTGCTTGCACACTTTCAGTACTACATAGATGTACAAAGCAAGAGTTGCTATCAAAGAGGCAATGTTAATAATGGAAAGAATCCCAAGGTTGACTTTATTGGAGACAGCGTCTGTTAATGGTACGAAAATCAGAATCACACCAACAATAATTGTTGGCACCCAGAGTCCTGCTGATATCTTTGCTGCTCGAGATTTAGAGGCTTTTTCTTTGAACGTTATAGGATTGCACACTGCAGAGAATCTCTCAGCTGCAATGGTAACCACAAAGAAATTAGAAGTAGCGAGGAACGTGCTTTGGAAACTGTATATTGCCTTTTTGACCAATAAGTTGGACTTTATAGGTGAAAACAGTGCAATTATGAAGTAAGTTATAAGGTAGAGGGAGTCAGCCACAGCCAGATTGGATAAGTAGATGTTGATGATTGTACGCATGGACTTCACTCGAATGACTGTGAAGAGAAAGACAAAGTTTAAGCAGAGGCCGATTGGTGCAATGATTTCAGCACTTAACCATGTTATTTGAGAAACTTTTTTTCCACTCATGTAAAAGTTCTCAAGATGCTTTTCAACTTCAGTTTTGCACCCAGTTGATGGAGTGGAGCTGTTTTGGTAGCCATCACCCATAGTTCATGCACAATGTAGCATTGAGCTCCGTGAACCACATGTTGTTCAGATGCAGCAAAGAATGTTCTTCTCTATTTCAAGATCACTCCAGATTTATACTTACAGGGATTGTAAGACCTTGAGCAAAGTGGAATTGAAACAGAAAGTTTCTTCTTCTTTTCCTTCTTTTTCCCCGAACATTTCTGTCCGATTTTAATGCATGTGACTATCGTGTGGTATCAGTTCCTGTAACCAAAGCAGATGCATGTAAGTCAGTTTCACTACTTGCACTGACATGAAATCTGAGCATTGAATTTGTTTCAGTTTTAATGATTGGCTCTAGAGTAAACATGCATAGTGTGTACATGTAATCATTTTTTTTAATGCAAGTCGTCCCTTCACAAGGCATAAATGCCACTCAATGTGAGGGCTGCCGCACAAGAAGGAAAGACAGGAAAAAAAGAGGATGATAGAAAATGAAGACAATTAAGTTTAGTGTGTATGAGAGATGCATGTTCACATTGTGTTTATACAGGGTGATTAAAATAAAAAGTGACCCGCCCTCAAGATTTTTTTTTTCTTACTTTAAGCAATCAAATTAGATACACCGAAGAAATATGTTTTAAAAGAGCATGTTCTTCTGAAAAAAAACCCAAGCACTAAATTTGATCATGCCATCCAAAGTTATGCATGTTTTACTAAAAAGAACCCGTTTGTGTAGCTGTCTAAGGAATGCGATAATATTGAATGCTAAATGAGCTACATGTAAGTGAGAATTACAGATTACACACAAGTATTCAAATACAAATGAGATTTTGATAATTGAAATCGAAAGAATTTTTACTATCAGGTTGTGTGTTTTGAATATGAGAAGCAAGTTAACTCTCTTTTTTCTTCGAAATATCGATGGTGATTTTTGTATCTTTTCCTTTGCAAGTTCTCGTTCATTCATGGAGGTGGGAAAACAATTGATGTTTCATTGTCCTCATTGAGAGATGTATTATCAGTTTGCAGCACGGTAATTGATAAGTGGTGGACAGCCAAGTTTTGTGATTGTTTTATTGAATAGACATGAATTGGGAATAGAATTTGCAATTTAAGTGATATTTTCACAGTTAATAGTCAATAAGATGCAGACTTGTATTCGAGTCGAGAAACATCGAATCCGAGTCCGAGTCACATTTCTTGAGTCTAAGTCCGAGTCCCGAGTCCTCCAGGTCAAGTCCGAGTCAGAGAGTCACAAAGGTTGAGTCCGAGTAACGAGTCACCTCTTTTTATAAAAAAAAACATACATTTTAGGGAATTCAGAGATTTAGAGTCACCTTTGATATAGTATGGAAATACGTACATTTCAGGTGCTGTAAATTTTCATTTTTCCCCACAGCTTTTCTCTAATTTTCTCTGGAAATAAGGAGTTCATTTGCAAAAACAGTTATAAAGGCAATTCAGACAAAACTGGTATTGGCCTAACTTTTGCATTTAAAGTTCAGGCGTTTCGAATAACTTTGTTCAGACTTCTATATACGTGAAAGGTGGCGATTGAAGTTGGACGTAGTGCCGGTTTTCTCCTCTATTTTCTTCCTGCAGAACTTGCATTCTGCACTTGATCTTCCATTGGCAGTTCTCTTGAAGTTAAAATTGACAATTTTTGGAGTGGATGCCATCATGATCTACGTACGTTGCAACTTGCATGTAACGTTACTGAAACGGGCAGATCAACAGACTATTCATATCGCGTTATCGCGATGCGACAGCAATACACGTGTGAACGACAGGACGTCTGACAAGAAAAGTCTGGTACCTTACCCTATCAATCTTGCACCAATGCAGTATTGCGTGTTGATGGCGGGGTACAAGTTTCAGTACATTGATTTCTATAAGTCAATATATCGGTAACAGGCCACGGCCACGCATGCACCACATCGAGCGCCTTGTACATGTATTGCACAGTAAAGAAAACGATCAAATTATATATGTGCGCGTGTGCAGTGCGGTAATTTCCGTCGAGTCACAAGTCAGTTCAAGTCCAAGTCCGAGTCCGTAGCCCCGAGTCTGAGTCCGAGTCGTAAGTCAAAGTGAATCGAGTCCCAGTCCGAGTCATTAAAAATGTGACTCGAGTCGGACTCGAGTAGTCACGAGTCATACAAGTCTGATAAGATGTACTTTATCCGTGTTTTTTTTATTAACATGGAACGAGCCAAATATTTTAAACATTTTTTTTTCAAATTCGGTCACTTTCTTTTTGACTCATCCTGTAGTTGGTTCAACCGGTCACGTGGGAATAAGCTTGATGAATACATCCTGAAAATGGCTTTGGGGATAATGACAGTATATGGACGTGATTGGACGGAGGAGCAGGTAGTTGGTAGTTGGTTTCAATTTCGTCAGGTTACTGATGACAGAAAGTAACATTCACTCAAAACATCTTTAAGCACTAATATTACTTTATACAAAGGTATATGTAGATGTAGACAACAGCAAAAACAAAGAAGAGATTTTATTTTCTATCAATCCTTGTTGTCTTTTTCCCCAAAATGAATTGTGTTCTTCCCCTGGATGTTGATTTATTTACCCATACAACAATTCTGTACTTCCCTTCTGTTTGATATTCGATTTGATCTGATAAGGAATGAAGTCAAATGGAAGTTTTTATTCACAAATCACAATTTAATTTCTGTTCATCAGTTGCCTTTTTTTTCTTTCCTGGGCTAATGTTGGTTGTCATCTGATCAGAGTTTCTTCTTCACTTTCTGGGGTTGTTGTCATTTGAAATCAGTCTCTCAAGTTGATGTTGTCATATTCTCAGTTTTGTTGATGGAACATCTTTGCAAGACAATTTGCAGGGCTAACTACTTGGTCTAACTACGTGGTGGCATGGTTTAGTAAAGGTTTGCAGTACCACCATGGAGAAGTCTGTTTTGGGAAGATGTGTGGTTCTTTTCAGAACCACACATCTTCCCAAAAGAGACTCTGCATGCCTACATGGTGTTACTGCAAACTGCAAACCTTCACTAGAACACTGTCTTCCACAAATGTGACAATTGGGAAGGGGAAAGTGTGTTTGTCCATTTTTGTTTGGGGGGGGAATATAATCCCCAACCCCTTTTCTTCCCCTGACATCCCCCCCCCCCCCCCCCCGCCCCTGATTCTATGTAAATATTTCAATGCTAATCATACTTGTATTGGTGATATTTCAATGATAGATATATAGACTCGAAAAGATAGGAGAGAACAAGACCAGTTTCTTTGGTAAAATTATCCAGTCAGGTAAAGACAAACATCTGTGAAGACTCGTTTGCATTGGTCTGCATCTCAAATCTATATGGATAGTTGTGAAATTCGAAATTGTTAATTAGGAAGTAGGAATCAACTTTATTTGATTTCATTCATATAATTATTGATCTTCTTTTTCATACATGTATTTTTTTTGCCCTTCCCTAAAGTATTTTACAAACACTGTACACATTGAGTTTTGTCTGCGGGTTTGCAAAATCAACCAGCTTACTTCTGGTTGGACACGAACCCCCAACCTTCTGCTTCCTAGTGCAGACACATTAACCACTCGACCACTGAGCTTGCTGTGGCCAGCTGGCCGTTTGGAGTCTAATGTAGCAGCGCTTAACCCAACTTTGTGTACATGAGGTCATTAGTTTAAATCCCACCTAAGCCTTCCGACAACACTAAGTGCACAGTGTTTACAAAATATGTCAGCAGGGGCAAACAAAAATCAAATATAAAAAAGGCTAATTTACATCTCATAATTTTGTTTCCTGCCCAGGTTCCCATCTGAAGTCCATCCAGATGATCCTTGATAAGACAGCAGACGGTACAGGCATCGACTCCAACACCCTAGCCTTACAGGTGAAGACCCATCCTGAGCTGAGGGACAAGCTTCATGTCGTCACCTCTTGGGGGACTTTGCCTGTCTACCCTGGGGTGGTCAACTCAGCATTACCTGGTAGGTACAGTGGACTCTGTGACCAAGTACCAGTGTTGTAGTCGAGTTACCAACGTCGAGTCCGAGTCCAAGTCCAAGTCTCGAGTCACAAGCCTTGAGTCCGAGTCCGAGTCACAAGTCACTTGTTCTTAGTTGTTCACCGAACTAATCGTTTTTTAAAATTATTTTTTAATCCGCCATTCTGTCTTTTAAGTAAATCCCAGTGTATATAGTTGGGTGTGTACATGTTGTTTAGAGCCAAAATGTGTTTTCCTTTTAATTCCCATCCCTAAAAAATCTTCCTCCAACCCTTCCCTCCATGTTTTATCATCCAAACAGTATTCCTCAATGATCCTTTCCAATCCCTACGTTAGCTTTTTACTTTTGATGAAATTACATGACTCGAGTCGCGAGTCACCAAGCTCGAGTTCGAGGAGTCATGGTCAAGTCTGAGTCATTTTCCAATGTGACTAGAGTCCAACTCAAGTCCGAGTCCTAGACTCGAGTCCTACAACACTGCCCAGTAATCCCTCTGAAGAAAAGGTTTAGGTGGAACTCTTGAACGCATTGTCGCCCAACACCTTGCGCTGATGTTAAGATATTGGATGATCGTAGTGCAGTGTTCATATAGCACTCTTATACAACACTCTCAGATTGCTCACACTTATTACCCCTGTTCATCAGGCCATGAGAACACTTTCCTGCTATAAGCTCAAGATCAGCACTATGTGGTCTGCACCCCCCCCCCCAAATGTACTCAATGGAGGCAATTGTAGTAATGTATCTTGCCCAAGAACACCAGCACCATGTCCCCTGTCAAGATTGACTCAACATAACATCGTGCATGAGTCAAACACAGGAACCTTTTGGCCACAGGACTCTGCATGCTGAATAAAACTCTAATCAAATAAGCGATGTATAAACACTGACGTATGAACACTGTATGAGTGTGTTACCTCCTGAGTGAAAGTTGGAAAAAAAAACGTTGGCGAGGGGCAAAACCTAAATTGATTTACATAACCCCAACTAAAATTCCATCTTATGAATAGTTAATGCTATACCTGCTGCTATGTACATCAGATTCGAACCAGCCAACTGATTCCCTTAGCTCGGTGGTTGAGTGGTAAGACATCTGCACTAGAAAGTAGGAGGTCTTGGGTTCGAGTCCCACCCGAGTGATTTTTTTCCAATTTTCACTCGGGAGGTAACACACTGACTGTTTATACCAACTGTTTATACGTCGGTGAAGGGCAAAACCTAATTTGATTTACATCACCCCGACGCAAAATTCCATCTTATGAATACTGAATAAAATTAGTGATACACAAGTACATACTTTGCGTAAAGATATTTGTTGTGTGGAAGAGGAAAGTACCTCAGACAGTCAGACCACCGTTTAAACAGAAGATCTGACCTGACACGTGTACATGAGGACATACAAGGGCCTCATGATTCTGATATTTAGTACGCTTGTAGATATTTAAATAATGTTGAACCCTGCATCATAGGTCAATCTGACAATCTACGCGCTTGCCAGTATCAGACTTTAAACGGCCCGCAAGAACCTGCCATTTTGAGTCTGCGTTTAGATTAACCACCATTTTGATCGTCTCATTTTGAATATTCTTTGGTCTTTTTTTTCCTCAGAGGATCTCAAGACATCTATCACCAGGCATCTTCTCAACATGCATCTCGATCCCAAATGGCAAGCTCAACTGAACCAATACACGGTGTCCAAATTTGTGCCGGTTACGCTGGATCTGAACAAAGGATTGTTAAAATAAACAAACAAATGTTCCAATAAACCAAAAAGGGAAACCGACTATTAGTGCATTATAAAATATATTGCATTATTATAATATGACAATTGTAACAAAATAACAAGACAGTGTTATATTTTTTAAAAAATAATGATTAATTCATTGTTGAAATCGGTACTCTTAAATTGGACTTTGTCATGATGCAATTTTGTGCTCTAAATTAAAAATGAAGTATACATATTTTATCATGAAAAAAATGTTGTTTATATATTTTACTGAAACCAAGAGACTAGTTGTCAATCTACAAGCTATTGTCACATCTTACTGTGTGTAATGAGTTCGTTAGCAGGGCTCAAATTTTGTGTGAACATTTTGTGGACAACAGTACCTGAAAGTATTATTTACTGGACCAATGTACATTCGCAGTTAAAATTGAAACACTGTTACTTAAAGCCATGTGAATCATTTGCAATGACCTGGAGAAGCATTGATTTAATGACAAACTCTGCTCAAAGTCAAGATAGGAGTGGTACCAAATACCCTTGTAAATTGAAATTGTTTTCGTGTGGACGAAAACTGAGGTGGTGTTAAAGAGGGTGTCCACGGCACATTTTAACATTATGCATTAGCAATGGAATCCAGTTACAAGACACCCCAAAAAAGTGAATGTATTTCCTCGGTTTTCTTAAAACGTATACTATCCAATCAGCCTTCAACAGGTTAGTTGTCATGCACCCTGCTTCAGACTTTTAGCCATATTGTTGCTTCAAACAAAAGTAAAGGCACAAGAAGCAAATAATCATATGTACCTTTTAAGAAAGTTGCAGTCATTAGGATTATACAAGAAGTGTATTTCATTGCTTCTGATGGTAAATGGGAAACATCAAATGTGAACATTTTTAATAGTCAAATGAGTCTTGCATATGTAGATTAGTCATGATCATGATAATCTGAGACCAGATTTAGACAACACATGCAATCATGAAAGGCATGTATTCATCTGAGTGCAATGTGTAATTATAAAACATCAAGATGAATTTGTATTCCCTTTGTTTTAAGTTACCAAAACTTCCAAAGAATTTATATACGATTTAGAAGTGTTTTTGTCATTACGCATAACCATCACTAAAGAGTGAAATACATTTGAACATCAAAACAATGTGAGTTACAGTGAAGTGCAAATTTATTTATGCAAATGCGATAAGGTTTTCTGTCATGGATATTGGTATGAACGTAGATGATGTGGATATGATTCGCCTACTTTAGTGTACATGTAGTTGTGTTTGTCATTTATAATACATGCACACCATATAGTTATTAAACTTATCAGAATTTATGTGCTGTAAATTTTGGATTTTTGTGACTTGGTTTAAAATTAACAGTCACTTCTTTCATTTCCAATGGCAAATTATTAAAGTGGATGCGGTGTTTAAAACGAATCAGACTTTCTATTCTATAAATGTTCTAGTTTTCTGGCAACGTGATGTTAGAAATGAACTCTTTTGAACTTTTAATAAAATTGTATTTTCAATGGCAAATTTTATATTAAATGCATGTACATGTAGATCTGAGCCAATTTACTTGTTTTAGTCAAATTATTCTGTGTGAAAGATTGACCATTTTTCCTCTGGCTTATTTCATTGGGTCACGCTTAATTTTTTGGTTACAGATTCCCAATGTGTAAAAGTAGATATCATGGCTAAAGGAAAGTACTCAAGAAAAATAATCAAACCCAACTTTAAAATATCTTTAAAAAATTTAAGTATCTTCCTTTTCTTGTACATATATTCAGTGGGGAGTGCCCAGGGGAGTGCCGATAAAATCCTACAATCGTGCACACTAAATTACCTAATAGTGTACTGGGGCGGATCCAGGAATTTTCGCAGGGGAGGGGGGTTCATCAGCCAAAAAATTAGAAAATGTAAAGGGGGGGGGCCTGGCCAAATTCGACGATTAGTAACACTAGATTACAGACTGGTGTACCGTATTTTTAACAGGCGCACATTATACAAGTATATTTTTTTAGGAATTTGTATGATAATTTTTTTTTAAAGGTGAGTACCCTCAAATAATCCGGCCCATTTCGGTTCTGTAGGCCACATCTCTTGCGTTTACCACAATTTGGTAAATAAAGGACTGAGCTGCAGCTCTGCTATTTGCCCAGGATATCATACATATACGTAAACACAAAAACATACATACATAATCTTAACACCGTTCTTAGGGAACTTTGTTCTACTTTTTTTCATTTTAAGGTAGCATTTTTGATATCGGGGGTCAATCTCTCTGGGGGTTATCCTGCCACCAAGTCTATGTTAAAAAGTTTCTACTGGTAACTTCAACAGCGCCCTCTAAACAAATCTTTGAGAGTGGCGTTTTCGAAATTTCGGACTAGCTTCGGAGTCAGTAACGTAGTCATTTCCACAACTAATTACATGTCCGATACAAGCCTGTCATAACATTTGGGCTGTTAACAACAAAAAATGTTCATAGCAAAACAAAGACCGATACCAGTATATCCCGAAAGTGACAAAATAACATCGCTGGAAGTCAAAGCCAAATCTTTCGAACGAAACCAATGTTTACGAAAATTCCCAAGGTATGACGTATTGCCCACGTGAGGGCGCATACAGGTGGTGTTGTTTTGTGACACTGACAGGTGCAAAATGAATGGTTACAATTCACATGTGGCGGTTTGTTGTCATGTCAGTGCTGCATGCACATGTCACAATGAAAAGACTCTGCACTCAAGCCCGTCTCCCAAGTGTCGTCGCCATGTTGGGTCACTTTCTCCGGATGTTTTCATGGTTGTATCTCTGCTAATTTGTGACTGTGAGGTACTTGGTTCAGTGTGTCCGCCGTCAACTCGATTTTATTAACCCCGGAAAAACTGCAAGACGTTCATTGCCTGGTCAGTCGTGAGTATTTAACAGGGACAGAATCGTATTACCAAGGTTGCGATCATGTGCATTCACTAAGCGCGGGCTTTGCAATCGCATCAACGTACCTTTTCCATAAACCGTAAATCTAAGATTTTCACATAATCCTATTTAAACATTTTGGATTTTGAGCATGTTAAGGAAGTGACAATTAAGCTAGTGGTTACTCACGTACGTCACAATATGTGCATCCCCCCATGTTGAAGCACTTGAAAGTGTTCAACATATTTAATTGGCCTGATCAAAGATCAATCTGACAATTGATAATTATTATGTGCCAAAAACAGGGCTGATGGCTTTCAGGGACTTCATTCATCCTTGCAACATATCTCTCTCTGTTATTTAAGTCTCTGTTGTATCATAGTGGTGATGTGAAGTAGTTTTCTATAAGAAATAATTAATGCTGGGTTCCTTTATTTTCAATAGGACCCAAAGAAATATTGATTGTGAAAAGAATGCACAAGTCATATCCGTCACACCTTTTGTGACGGAAATGACAATTATTATATTACTTGGCTTTTGGAGGTATAATTACCTTTTCAAGTTGTTTACAAATTATGGCAGTAGGTACATATTGAGAAATACACTGGGACATGCATTTTCAGGGGGTTTTGAGGGAGTATTGTAAAGAATGAGCATCTTGTCCATTATGTTAAAGAGTTTTTAACACTGCACATAATAGGAGTCGTGTTAAAGTTAATTTCACTGCTCAAAAATCTAATTTTCATTCTATATTTTTTCGAATTATAGTGCCTTAAAGTGTCGGGACATGAAAGTAGACACTTGATACTGAAGAATGACCCATAGGCCCCTTTTTAATAAGAACTTGCTGGAAGTGTACATGCGGGAAGAAATTCATGATAAACATCTCCAGCATTTAGGATAGAGATAAACCCACGAATGATTCTAGCGGAAGGTTGATGCATTGGCAGTTGTACTGTTTAACTATGTTCACTATAGGGTGTCAGTGGGTACATTGCATTTTTTGAAGAGAAGCTGAAACAATTAGAATCAGTAAGTGAAAATTTACAAAAATCCACTTTGACAAAAGATGTATATCATACATTTAATTTAGCCAGTTAAACTGTGCACATTAATTTACTTGTGCTTTTAACAAATTCAATAAATATATAAAATCTGATATCAAAAAGTAATTTCATCCTCTGCAGGCTGAGTGTCAACATTAAACTGAAATCCACAGGCAAAAGGGGAACTATGTATTGGTGGAGTGAGGAAATTATGGATGTGACATTTACACATTTAAACATTTAATATAATAAACAAAGTTCTAAATCGTATTTTTCCAAAGGTTTTAACAAAACTCAAATTTTAAAAGCAGGAACCTATTTTCCGCTATCTTCCTTTGAGTTGAGCACGCATAACAAAAATAATTCAAACCTATTCAATTTGCTAAAAGCTAAGGAGAACTGCAGTACTAGATTACTTTCAGGCTACGTGCTCATCTTTTTATTGTTTTCAATGACAGCCCTCTTTTTATTATGTTACTCTTTTATTATTAAATTATTGTGTCGATCATGTTGGTCTGCACAATGGGCAGTCATCAGTCTTTGTGAAAGGGCTCAACATTGAGATGGTTCTTTAAATGTTTGCTAAACATTTACAAAATGAAACGTCACATCCTTAGAAGACATTGGAGGAGGAGGTCTAAGAAATTGGAGGAGGAAGGCAATTGGGGGTCTGTGGATGTTTGAGCTACTACGTACATGTAGAGGGTAACAGATGTCTCTGATGGTGATGCTGAAGTTTTGCAGAGCTATCGTCTGTTTGCTGACCTTCATTGCTGGACGGACAGAGCATGGATGTAGCTGCTTGATACTCGTGATGATGGTGTCCCTTTTGGTGAGTGCTGGGTGTTCACTGATTTCCTGTAATTCTCCCCATCTGCCATGTGCTCTGTGTTTGTGCTGTCTGGCGTTGAGTTCTCTTGCTGGTGTACCCAGTGTACACCTTCTGCATTCGCAGGGGATGCATCAGGTTCGGTCTTGGAGGCTTGCTTGTCCTGTGGGCTATTGTGGATCTTGTGGGTGTGGAAAGCCCGGATACCTTTGTCATTTAGGAAGTACTGGATGTGATGAGAACTGCCTGTGTTGGGCTGTGTAATAGGCAGGGTGAGCCTAGTGGGTTCGACCTTGGGTGTAGGGGACCCTTTGGTAGGTGAAAGACTTTGGATCTTGCGTCTTGACTGGATGAGCCTTGAATCTGTTGTGTTGTAGTGCTGTCTTGACATGGTAAAGTTGTTGCCGGCCAGGATTGTGGTTGCTGATGCAGGCTTCCCGGACAAGGTTGCTCTTTGACTGGTGTTTGGATTTCCGGGTGCAGGAAGGATTGGTTGTCGATGTTGCCAGTCAGTGTCTGTCGGTCATCTCTAATAGACTAAGGGGTCGAGGGTGTTGTCAGACTGTTTTCAGACCTTAGCATCCAGGGATGAGATTCAAGGCGCCTGATCCTCACTGCGCCAGATGCTGCTGTAAATCCAGTTGAAGTCTTTCAGGACCTGCTGGAGGTCCCATGCTGTATGATGAAGTGATGAGAGTCTCATCCGTGTACTGAAGACAAACTCTTGGTCTCAGATCTACGAAGGCAGTACTCCTATATGAAGGCATTGACTAAAACTGGGGATAGAGTTGATCCTGTGGAAGTTCCAGAAGGCTGCTTGGACAACTGGCTGTTCATTGGAAGAAAGACAGCAGGATGTAGGTGGGTCAGAGATCATTAACCTGGTTTGGAGTGTGGGGCTTCATATTTCTGCAGGGCGTAGTCAAGTCGGAGTCCCCCTTGGCACCGAGGCATGAGTAGCCTGTGGGGATGGCAGTGAATATCTGGTAGCCTTCATCGGGGTTGACCATGGTGTAGTTGGGAACACTGTGAGGTTGCGATCATGGTGTCATTGGGATCATCACCCCCTCACCCTCACCCCCACTGGCGGCCGCCACCACCCCCCTCACCCTCACCACCACCATCACCATCACCTGCTGCTCTGCCGCTGCGCCGCCGCCGCTGCGCCAGCGCCGCCGCCGCTGCGCCGCCGCCGCCGCCGCCGCCGCCGTCGCCGCCGCCGCCGCTGCGCTGCTGCGAACGCCTTCACTTGTGATCCCAACAAAGCCATGTGCAGCTTCAGTGGAGACTCCAGGTATTCATCACCAATCCCATGGGTGAGGCATGTCTCAAGGTCTCGGTCAGGAAACCTTCATGAAGACAAGCTGCGTGAGTGTGAAGCCCTCTCTCGGGATTAGGTTTGTGATCTCCTACCCATCTACATCCTGCCGTCCTTCATCCAGTGGACAGGTCAATTCTTCAAGCAGTCAGCTGGAACTTCCACAGGATTAACCCCATCTCCAGTTCAGGCCAATATCATCATATAGTTCTGTACAGCTTTCGTGGATTTGAGAGCAACAGTTATCTTCAGTTTGTGGATGACACTTTCATCATTTTATCACACAGCACAGTACCTCCAGCAGTTCCTGAGACACTTCAGCTGGTTCACACACAGCAGCATCTGGCTCACCTTGGATCGAATCTTCTTCCTGGATATTGAGGCCTCAGGGCAGTCTGGCAGTACCCTCAGCCCTTTTGTCTATCAGAGAGCCACACATTGATAGGCATCTCCACAATCAATCTGTCCAGTGCCCTGGTATCTATTCATCAGTCATTGGCACCCTTGTCTGGCAATCCTTCATCGTTGACCACGATCCTTTCCTGCGACAACTTTGCTATGTCAAGGCAACAATCCAACACAACCGATTTGGGGTACATCAAGTTGAGACACTTGATCCGAAGTCTTTCACTGACTGAAGTGTTTCGTATACTCAAGGTCTACCCATCAGGTTTATCTGGTCCATTACACTTCCCTTCATAGGCAGCTCTTATTGCATTTAGTCCTCCTGAATGACACTGGCATCTAGGTTTTCCATGCCTAACATGATCTGCAATAGCCTACAAGGATGAGTAAGACACTGAGACCTAACCTGATGTAACACCTGTGAATACAGAAAGGTCTGCATTGGGTACATCGGTGAGGATCTTAGTGCTGGACTCCATGAACACAAGGCGCATGGTTCTTTGAGGAGATTGCAGGAAATTTTTGATAATTCAGCATTTTACCGATCGGTAGCACCTCATCATATGTATTGAGAGCCACAATCCTTGCCGAGTCTGAAAGGCCTTGGATGTCTGGCACAGGATTTTTCTGCAGGACAACAGTTCCATCATCAGTGATATCTGGAGTCCTTTGCTGTGCTAGCATCTCAATATTCCACAGGCCTCCAATACTCACTCCACCAATAGTTAACATCTAGTTCCCCTTTTAGCTTGTCTGTGGGTGTCTGTCCTCAAAACTCAGCTCTGTAAGTAACATTCATGTACATGTACTCACTTGACATTCTATAGTGAACGAAAATTGCCCTTTCTTGCCTTATGTTAATTGTCCTGTCTTGCCTGCCACCTTTCTTGCCTAAAGTGCCAATATTTGCCTAAAGTGCCAATTAATTCTTACCTAAAGTGCCAACTATTTCTTGCCTAAAGTGCCAATTAATTCTTGCCTAAAGTGCCAATTCATTCTTACCTAAAGTGCCAATCCTTGTCTAAAGTGCCATCTCTTGCCTCAAGTGCCATCTCTCGCCTCAAGTGCCATCTCTCACCTCAAGTGCCATCTCTTGCCTAAAGTGCCATCTCTTGCCTAAAGTGCCATCTCTTGCCTAAAGTGCCATCTCTTGCCTAAAGTGCCATCTCTTGCCTAAAGTGCCATCTCTTGCCTAAAGTGCCATCTCTCGCCTAAAGTGCCAACTCTTGCCTCAAGTGCCAATTCTCGCCTAAAGTGCCAATTAATTCTTGCCTAAAGTGATAATTCTTGCCATGTTGTCTAATGTCTCTAGGCCTATTGCCATCACTTGCCATAATTACATCCCCTCTTTACCGATACTGTCATACATGCAAAATGTTGTTCCAATCGAAGCTGCCATGCATCAACCCTCCTTGCCAGGCATGTACACTCCCATTCTAGACACACAATTCTAGTTCTTACCTCAGTTAGTTGCCTTCAACTTCAAGTCAATGGCTGGATTGAAGGTCTAGTTCATTAGGTTTTTTAAGGTTAATATTAATTCAAAGTAATCCCTAGCTAATTTGTAATTAGTCACAAAGAAAATTGGGTAAAAGTTCACACTGAAAGCCACAGCCCTTTGCATTGTTTTATTTCAATTAATTGTACTGGATGCTAGTATTGCTGTTGCAAGCAGGTCATCACCCACATTAGGTAAACCATGCAAAGCCGAACCATTGGCACCATTTGTCTTTTAAGTGGACGGCCGCACAAGTAATGCACATGTATGCATATGGTGAGTAACCACTTAGTTTTGTCACTTCCTTTGAAAAACATGTTCACCAGAGCTCTTGAAATAGAAATTGTTTGGTACAAAAAGAAAAAACAAGTCTATGAACCCCCCCCCTTATCCTAAACCTTGACTTTGTGACTCAGCATGGCAACACTTTTAAATCTTTGATACTTGATAAAAAAGTAATTCTACTATAAAATACATTCAACATTTTCAATTTTTTTTTAACTTCAAATTTGTGTTACTTTTTATTGTTAATTACTTTTTGATATGCATTTTGTTGGTGTCATTTGACTTTTCTTTATTTTCTAAAGAATTTGGGGTCAGAGAAGGCAAACCCAACTACATGTAAGAAGGATTATTCTGTTTTCATCAGCTTATTAATTGAGTGTAAGTGTTGCCTCAAGTAGGCGTACTCAAGTCAAAACTTTGTGCTTGTCCACGTAGTAAGTGCGAGGGCATAAATGTCAAAAACAAATCATAATTTCTGATTAAAAAAAAAATACATTTTAAAATGACAAGATATTTTATAAACAAATGCTCAGTTAACCCTCCCTCTCGTCTAGCCCAGCAGTCAAATGAGATTAAGTGACTGTTTTTAACAGTTTAGTGCTCCCTGTCTTCATAAAGCAGGATTGACTGGCTGTGACTGTTTATGCAACCTGATACAGCTATGCTTTGACTGTCATATATTGATAAGCCAACTGTGACTTGAACACCTTTCAATCTCCTGCTTTTGTCTGTTGATGGAATGGACTGTCACAGTGCCTATAAACAAGATCTGACTGTTGGTGACAAGCCCGAGTAAAAGGCATGGGAGAGGAAAAGAAGTGAAATTTTGACAGTCTGTGACTGATCAAACAAAAGATAAATATTGAAGTCTACTTAACAGTAATGGCCGAATTTAAATAATTGTCAGCAGTTTATTACTTTACTTTGTCTTCCATTTTATTTTGGTACTAAAAATCAAGAAAAAAAATTGAACAGAAGTCAACACCCAGGCATTCAAGTTTTACTTGGATCTGCTGATTTCCTTGTTTTTAAGTTTTTGTGAATGCTATTACAAATTGAAAATACCATACAAAGTCTTGTGTGGTTTTGGAGTTTCCTTGTTTTTTTCCCCTAAAGTCCCAGTTGCATGCCTGAAAACAGTAAACGTACATGAGCATTTGAATAATCATTATTTAGAAAACAAGTTTCCAAATATCTTTTGATAAAACACTGAGGCACACAGTATTTCAAAAGGGCTTGTTTGACTTTTTAGAAATGATTCAGTACAATGTTAGGCTGTAACATGATTTATTTCAATTGATTATTTTGCTTGAAAATCATTCCTGAACTAGCAATTTGCTCCCTATGTTCCTCCAGTTACACGAATTAGGAAACTAGTATTTTTAAGTTGGTCACCAGTAATCCTCACTGTTTAGAGAAAACATATCCCCATCTATAGGCAAGAAAACTGAATGAGTCAGTGAACAATGCAATAAAACGACAGTGACAGCAGTTACTATATTCAACACATTTATTAGTAACGTAATTCTAAAAACACGATGGATGCAATCCTTAGCAGCCTGGGTAGGAAATGGACTCGTGCTTCAATTTATCATGACATGAATACGAGACAAATATTTTGTTTAACTTCAACTAGCAGTTTACCTTGACAGCACATGCATATATTTAACTGTAACTTGCACAGGTTTCCATAATAATTTGTTTTACAGTATCCATTAAATTAATACACAAAATTTTAATTTTATTCAACACGTTTTCTTACTTGACTTCAGCAATTTTAACACGACATGAAAACGAGACAAAACTTTTGTTTAACTTCAACCAACACATTACATTAAGAGTGCATGCATACATTTAAACCTGCAGAAATTTTCATAATCATTTTTTTCAGTATCCATAAATTAATACATACAATTTAAATTTTAACCAAAACATGCTTTGATACTTAACTTAAGCAGTTTTAACTTTAACAAGGAAAATGTTTATATGTAACTTCATTTAACTATACTTGAAGTACAATTATTTTCAGAAATGGTGTAAAAAATTGACAAAACCAAACAAGTCATAACAGTAAATGCTTACATGGTGACGTTCACAGTGACGGTGAAATTCCTGGGAGAATCCTGATTCGAGTCTGTACCTGTCCCCCTGGAAGGTGTTGTGGCGGTGCTGGTTGCAAGTTTCTTGGCTGATGGTGTACGGGCAACGGTACCAGATCCACGCCCTTGTATGACTGAGTTGATTTTGCGCTTGAGATTTTCCGATGTCCTCTTGTAGTTTCTTATGGCATTTGACCTGTGGCCAGTTACTTCGCAAAGTAGCTGTTCGTCGACATTCTCCCTGTAGAGGCGTGAAGCTGCACTGGCTCGAAGAGAGTGATTTGTGCGGTAACCGGCGAGGCCACCTTGCCTGCACACCTCTGCAACAACTTGGGCCAGTTTGTGACGTCCAAGAGGCTGAGCAGCATACCAACCTGCCCTCTCGGTTGCGCTAACGGACGGTTGGTTTTAAATGCATCCTCTGTGTATCGCAAGAACTTGTCACCATTACTGTCAATCAGGATTTGAAGTTGCGGAGACTTCCAGCGCAAGTTTCTGTGCTCCTGACCTCCACGTAGGGCAAAATTCAAGCCAATCAAATAGATCAGCGTGTTCAGAAGCTGGCTGGGACTGGAACTGCCAAGAATCTGCTTTTGCCACAGTGACTCCTCCTCTTCAAGTGTTATCTCCTCAGCTTGCTTGCGACGTATTCCCAAACCCACCTTCACTCGTTCTTTCATGAGTCCATCAAGAGTGTTTCTCAGCTGTAGGAAGTCCGGGTCCGACAAAAGCTTTTGCCCCTTAGATCAAAATAGAGCTGAATACTGATGACAAGCTCATGAAGTGTCTCCCCCGGGTAGTCGTCACCATTCTTCTTTTTCACCTCGCATATGAATCTTGCCGATGAATAATTCACCTCATCCTTCGTCATAAAATTCAGATCCACGTTGATGGGGCTGATGTTCAGTGAAACATCAGACACAGCTTTCTGGTTGCGACACATCTGCCAATCCCGAAACAAATCGACAGCCCATCGGATTTGCGCTCTGTACTCTCAGCAAATCTGTTGTGGAATATATAAACATTTACAATTAACCGTTTTTAAAATAACAGGCAATTTGGAGGGTCCATACTCGCACTTAACGTTTATGTTTTCTAGTCTTGTTGGATTCTTTACTCATTTAACAGGACAATTCTCAAAACATTTGTTTTCGTTTCTTTTTTGTTGTTGATTTTTTTCCCCCCGAGTGCTGGGCACAATCCCATAATCTCGCATGCACTTGGGATATTTGTTCTCAATAGGCACCACTACTTAGGAAGTACAAACAAGGACGAGTAAAAACCTTTGCGGAAAAGCAATTATGTCAATTATGTCTATACACTGACAAGAAACAAGACACCAGTTAAAATAAGAAATAATAAAAGAAACAAATGTTAAGCTGACAACTACCTTCATCTACCAAAGTCCAGCATGTCTGAGTCTGCTTTCGGCTCCTTGAAGCGTTTAGTGTTTGCAACGTTGGCCAATGCAGTAGGCCTACATTTCGCTTTTTCTTCTTCTTCAATGACAAGGGTTGCCGCTATCAGCTCGTCGTCGAAAATGTCAGACACTATAGGCTCATATTTAGTTTTCATCTTGGGTTGAAGCTCATCAATATACAATACGCTATCTGACAAGTTTGCTGAATCGTCACTAGTATTGGAACGAAATGTATTTTGTGTTAGAAAGATGCTGTCACTATCAGAACTCGCCATGTTTTCACCTTGGTGTTTAGAAGACAACTGACATGTATACTGTTTAAATTCCCCTATTTGACATCGCACACTATTTGAGGACAGAGAATCAGACCACTAACCCAACAAGTTAGCTTACGTAACCACCAATACAGCACAAAGAATCGGAAAGCTTGTTTTGATTGGCTCTGCATGTTTTGATTGGCTCTGCATGTAGAGATCCCGCCTGCATGGCTTCTTCTACAGGTGACTCGGCCCTAGAGGTGTTGCATTCGATGCTTGAGGAAGCTGGACAACAGCTAGCAATTTACGCCTTGTTACACAGCAATTAGGTTTGGGTTCGGACGGGGTCTACCCGATGTTCCCCAATACCTTTCCCCAATACCTATATATGTTCCCCAAAATCCTCAGGGTTAGGCTTAGGGTTAGGGTTAGGTTTAGATGGTTAGGGTTAGATTGTTAGGTTTAGATGGTTAGGTTTAGATGGTTAGGGTTAGATGGTTAGGGTTAGATGGTTAGGTTTAGATGGTTAGGGTTAGATGGTTAGGGTTTAGGTAAGGGTTAGATGCTTAGGGTTAGATGCTTAGGGTTAGATGCCTAGGGTTAGATGCTTAGGGTTACATGCAGATGCTTCCAGGGTTAGGGTTGTGGAACATGTAGGTATTGGGCAACATAGGTAGGCATCTGGTTCGGACAATGCCAGACTTGCATAGGCGATAACTCTTTCTTTCCCTTCCTAAACTTGCGAGAGAACTCACTGATCCCATCCCTGCTGGCATCAGATCGAGTTTGTATTGGCCCTCCAGTTGAGAGTAACCCAGGGTAGGGGCCTCCTGCAATCCTGTCTTGAGGGTGTTGAAAGAGCTGTCACACTACTCGTCCCATATGAAATCACGATTCTTGGTTAAACAGTGTACGTAGTGGCCGTGCTTGTAGTGAGTGTATCTCGTTCTTCCAGTAGGAGGAAGACTTTGAAAAGTTCCTCACAAAGGTTTGAATGGTCTTTGTATGTTTGAAGGGTTTGTTTTGCATGAGGTATGCAATTCTCATTCGTCTTTGGTAGTGGTTTGGCCGGAGTGGGAACAAAGTTTAAATCTTTACTCGGGGCTGTTTTCTCCGATGTGGAGATGGATAGCTTATGATAGGTTGAACAAAACGTGTTCATTGTTTTTGTTTTTGGCCAAATAAGCTCGGGATTGGGTTTCATTTACTCGGTGGAGTTCCATGTGAACTTTACAAAGAAGCTTGAAATATTTGAAATGATGTGTATTGTAGGTTGTGTTTCCAGATGTCAAAGGAGTGTACAGTTTCATTCTTGTCCAAACACCATTGTTTTGGTGCTCGATGTGAACTGGCCATGGTGATTGGAAGGGTAAGGACACTCTTGTTGGTAAAAACTGAAAGTTAGTGTTATTACGCAGCTGTAGTATCAGCTGGCTAGCTGTTCACCTGTTTGTGAATGATGCACAGGGTCGGAAGTCCAAATGTAGCACTCAAAGTCGGCGGTTTGTTGTGACCAGTCCTTTTATGAGCCGAGAAGTGCATGGAAATGTTTCCAACGCTGCCACCATGCCACTATAGTAGTTGAATGGGGGATACCACATGAATGAATCACGGTCAAGTACCTCCCTCTCTCTTCAGTCTGATGGCGCAATTTGCACTCAGTGGCCATTACTAGTCTACGCCAACAATCTTGATCCACTGCTGATCTTGATGCTGCTGCAAGTCCCTGTCTGGTCCACTGCTTTATGTCGTTGGTTCCATGATGTTGTTGGATGACGTCTCTTCCCATAGACCAATCCCTGGATTATTTCTTTGTCGATTCCTTAAAAAAATAAAATATACTGAAAGAACAGAACAAGGATTAAAAATGACGGGCCTGGTGTGCTATTACCCCGATTTGAGTCTATGCAGCACTCTGTTCCCTGGCTAGCAACAGACTTATGCACAATGCCTCTTTTTCCCACAAGTACGCCCTCAATGATCGTGCGCTACCAATCTGAAAAGGTGACACGCTTTATAGCAGCACTTCACATGCTTTATAGTTGTCAACTCTAATATGTCGGAATCTACATGTATACTGTATACTCACCAGCTTAACTTTGCAAATAAAAAAAATGGATGTGAAAATTTCGTTGGAATAATTCCTTTGGCAATGAAGGGGGGGGGGTAATGTTACTGCAAAAATAGATTTAACATTAATGCCACCATACTCTGTGTGCCTCAGTGTTTCATCGAAATATAATTTGGAAACTGTTCTCTGATTATTTCATTTAAACACGATATAGACCTACCTTGGCAAACAAAAATGGTAATCTAATTCTTCTCACATATGGATCATGTGCCAACTTTCTAACCATAAATATTTTACTTTCTTCAAAAACCATTGAAAATACCAGTAAAATGTGAAATAATTTTTTTAAATTAGAAAAACTCTGGAAATGTTTGAATAATATAGTACTCAAGTTATTACTCATACGCATATATGTTATTGATAATTCATAGCATAATATGGTAATATTTATTGTCCTTTCATAGTCAACTTGAATATGTCTGAGTCAATACTTTATACTCATCAGGTTAACTTTGAAAGTTTAGTTGCATGTGAATATTGCATGGCAATAATACTGAAGGCAATGATGAAGGATTAACGCTACTTCAAACATTGATTAAATGAGATCAATATGCCACCATACTCTTTGAAAATATATTAAAAATGGCATTTTACTATATTAGAGTATTGGTATACAGAACAGGTTTTAATATATACATGTAGGACACTTAAGTTGGGATTTGCTTTCTCTGACGATCAAATTGCTTGAGAGTCAACAAATTCAAATCAATGTTGACTCCAATGAAACTTCTGCATAGTGCCACATTGAATGTCAGTTGAAAGACCACCTTACCACTGGCCAGTTGTTTGGTGGTTAGCTATGCTATTTTATAAGGGCACACTAATCAGTATTCACAGCCTTTTACAATCCTACAAGGACAAGCAGGACCTGAAGTGCACACTTGGAGAATCTGCTGCGAATGTGGTGAAGTGCAAGACATCACCTACGAGACTCAGTGAATAAAGATCCCTGTTTTGGCCCATCCTCACTGGACAGTCCGACGGGTCACCTATACCCAAGGACTCGGCACCCATAGCAATGTTTCCCCACTTTAGCAAGCCTACGGGTCTTCTATACCCATGGCATCTTACTCCTGTGCTGGACCCAGAGACAATAGACGTGCTTCATTTACCTTCACTGGAGGAGCAGTAATGATTGACTGTACTCTGTGAGGAGCATCTCCATAGCCAAGGAGTCAGGAGTCATCCAGCCCTCAAGGATAGCCCCAGCTTCTCTCGTCTCATTAGCATCTTCTGTCACTGATGATGCACAGAATGGAGACCAGGAGTCATGGAAACATGAGCTTGCCCCAGTTGCTGGTTTCACTTTAAAGGTAAGACTGTGCCACACTTTTTAATCGTTGTGAAGAGAAAATATCTCTGAAGAGAAATGCGTTATCTCCTTGGTGAAAACTAACTAACACAGCAATTGTTGGCCTCTACTTTTGAATCCCCTCATGCAAAGTTGTTCTTGTCATGTGGATTAATTGTCTTTGTGACCTGACACATTGCAAATCATAATACACATCTAGTCAATACCTAAGTTGGTTCATTTTCCTGTCAACTAAGTTTGCATGTCTTTAAACCATACAAACACGGGTTCTATTCCATCATAACAGTCTGGAGGATGGCTGCCCTTATATGCTGTACCTCTTTCCTGTTTGAGTAAATCTTTCACCGAGAGCTTGGTCTTCTATGATTCACTCAGGCCACTTTTTTTCCCCTGTGTCCCTTTCTGTTGCCTTGATGAATTTGCCCTGGTAGTGTGTCATTATGTAGGTTGTTTTGCCTGACAAAAAGACCAAATATTGCAATGTGACCGAATATGGCAATTAATTTCTCAAGGGTGTTACTGTTGCTGTATTGCATATGCTCTAATAAATATCACTTTCAAACAAATGTTTGATGTAAAGTGTAAAATCTCTTTAAAATGCTAACTTGACACAAATTATGGCTTCTCTTAATGACCAAATCTTGGTCGGCAACAGGATTTTCTGTGAAGCTTTGGACAAGCGTTATCAGATTTTATTTCTCTCCTCTTTACAAC